CCCCCCCCGACCCCCGCCGGGCCATCCCTGCCTGCCCAGCAACCAGGCGGCGGCGAGTTTGCAGCTGCACGGTTTTTTTATTTATTTTTTTTTGGCCACCCATTTATCCCACTCCCATCTCTCCAGGTGCTGGACCAGTCGAGGTGGGGGGGGCCGAAGTCCTGGAGCAAAGGTGTGAGTAAAATACCTGCTGGGCCCATAGAAGCCTCAGTCTGAGAACGGGCTATGTAAAAAAATAACTTTCAAGATTGTTCCAGAGGAAACTCCTGGCCCAGCAAGTCGGAATATCCCAGCCTGCCTGGTTCAGGATGGCTTTGTCACTCAGCTACTGCCCTGACCCCAAAGGAGTGTAATTTCTACCATGTGTTAGAGAGACAGCATCAACGAGAAATGAGGGCAATGAAGAACTGAATCATGTGCAGCTTGGAAAAGATTTAGGACTCCAATGCAAGATCAACTTATACCTTAATTTCCTCATCCCAGGGCCGTGGGCTGTGAGCACCGGCAATGGAGGAGCACTCACCACATGGGATCACAGACTCCAGAGGCAGAAACACAGGAGGTGAAGAGAACTGTAAAGGATTGGGATGAATCTGAGGACAACGCATCAGGTAATGCTGCATCACTCAAAAAAAAAAATGCTGCTCAGTCTCTCCTTTCTTAGGGAAAACTCAGAACAACAGCAGAATCTTTCATCAGAATATTTCTAATTTTCTGTGCAAGACATTCATCTGAGGGAAGTCCCTGGGTTCCAGGTGAACACTGTCCGGCCAGGAGAGCCCCTGGACTCTGGGAGTCCAGCACCCCTGGCCTGGCTGCTCCAAGCTGCAGGTGGCATCGCTGCCTCTCTTCTGAGCGAGAGCATTGTTCTGCAGCTTTGCTCTCTCACTGTCCAAGGGCTTTGGATGCACTCCGAGGATTTGCAGATGGAAGAAGGAGGTCAAAAACCTGGACCACAGATGCTGCGGACGTGGCTGCTGTCCACAGGAATGCAGCAGCCATCACCAGCAAGGATGATCCCTTCTTCAACGTGTCCATGGTGAATCTCCCCGAGGAAGTTTCGTGTGCTCACTACACACACAGATCTCACCAGCAGCAGCAAACGTGGCCCGAGTTTAAGGGGAGATGGAGCCCAACACTTGCCCTCTGCCAAGGGGG